GCAAAACCAGTGAAGTGTATACACACACACACAGAAAGAGAAAGAGACAGAAGAAACGGCTCACACAGTTGTAGAGGCTGGAAAGTTACAAGTCCATAGGTCAGGCATCAGGCTAGAGGCTTCTACTGACTTATGTAGCTGCAAGAGCTAATGAATCCAAGACTGGCAGGTAAGGCAGCAGGCTGCTAGCTCAAGTCCCAAGAACTGGAGGCCAGATGATGACAAGCCGAATGTAGAATCCAGAGGAGAGCAAAAGCCAGTGACCTTTGCCAGAAAGTCCATATATATTGAATGTAGGCCACACCAGCAAGGAAACTCCCTTTCAACTGATCGGCTGCTCATAACAGATCTCATCATGGAGGTGATTACATCATTACATAACTGCCAAACTACATCATAATTATCAAACCACTGAGAATCATGGCCCTGCCAAGTTGACACACAACCTTAACCATCACACTGTTGCTAGCAGCAGCAAATCTAAACCCTACGCGGGCCCTGTGCCCGTTTAGTGAAGAGGGAGCAGGTTAAATGCGGGAACACAAATGACAAACCCCAAATCAAGACATTTGTTTGTTCTTGCTAGTGTTTTTCCCTTATTTAAGTCTTTGACACCCTTATTACTTGAAGACAGGTACAATGTATTGCCTCCTTGCTCCCACCTAAGTTTTCTCCTCTCCTAGTTAACCATCTGTAGTTACTCAACCCTTGCTTTTGTTTTTTGGTGCCTAGGTCTCTCCTCCTCAATGTCCCCTATTCTACTGCCCTCTACTGGAAACCTTCCCATCTGTCATGCCTTTGAAGTATGCTACCCAGAACTAGACATAAAATGCACTGGACCAAAACCCAAACCCATTGCCCTCGAGTAGATTCCGATTCTTAGCGACCCTATAGGACAGAGGAGAACTGCCTCATAGGCTGTAATCTTTATGGGAGCAGAAAGTGGCTGGAGGGTTCTAACCACTGACCTTTCAATTAGCAGCCGAGCACTTAACCACTGTGCCACCAAGGCTCCTTAAATGCACTATAGATTAGAACTATTAACTCCCTTGATCTGAAACTGTATTTCTGTTGATGTAGCCCAAAGATAACATTGGTTTTGGGAATGGCTGGAGATTTATAAACCCATCAATCAGAATCCTTCATTACTTAGTTTACTGCCTAGTAGTAAGAACAGGCCCGGTAGATACAACCAAGTATCTACTCAGTTCTTTTTGGATTCTTGGGGGTCAAGTTCAGGAAGGAGGAAAAGGGAAAGAGTAGAGCTCTTTGTGACTCACAGTACTTACCAGTATCTGCCTTTTATTAGATTCTTAAGAGACCTGTCTACACTATAGACTGTTTAAGAAACAAGAATGTTTTTGTTCATTTGCAGGAGTGTTTATTAATTACATTTTATATTCTACTTTAAAAATAAGTATTTTCCCATGTTACTATAATTCATGAATGGGGATAGTACTTGAGGAATATAAGGGGAAGGTGAATGTTTACTTGAAGTCTACAGAGGAGCCTCAGTGGGGATACTCTTTTCCTTAAAACAGGTGGTGAAATCTTTGATATTTGAAAACCACTACATCTAGAAATGAAATATAATAATCCTTAAAAACTAACATCCGTTGTCTTTGCCCCAGTCAACTTTCCTATAAGAAATGGAACATTCTAAGTAGCTACTAAAGATGTAGCTACTTATAAAATGTGAGTTATACCTCAGTTTCTAAATACTGGATTCTTGACATGGGATATTGTGTAGTACCCACACAGCATTAATTCAGCACACCTGGGTTGTCCAAACCTTGCACATTCAAAAGGTCTTCAAGACTAGCCCTTGACAGGCTTCTGGGATATAACCTCTGAGCTGTTGGAATATCCTTCCAAATAAGAGTGTATTTGTATACCTGAGGCCATAAACAGTTTATGCTAACAATGTGATTTATGAAGAATTTGCTTTTATATACATAGGACCCTGGGCCATGCTGTATCAGATTGACCTCTTGGTCGGGGGGGGGTGCGGGAAGTTGGGGTTTGAGTAGCTGAATTCAGTCACACGGGTACTGCATGTCTATGTGACTGACTCCCAATAAAATCTCTGGACACCAAGGCTTGGGTGAGCTTCCCTGGTTGGCAACACTTCATACATGTTGTACATTGTTGCTGGGAGAATTAAGTGCTGTCCATACAACTCTACTGGGAGGGGATAACTGTAAGTTTTTGCCTGGTTTCTCCTGGACTCCAACCTATGCACCTTTTCACTTTGCTGACTTTAATAAGTATCTTTTCCCTACAATAAACTCTAACGATGAGTAGAACAGCTTTTCTGGGTCCTGTCAGTCCTTCTAGTGAATCATTGAATGTGAGGGTGGTCTTTGGGGACCCTGACTCAGACACTTTACCATGGGATAAAAACAAATAATATATATATATTTTCTTCTTTTTTTAATTGTCATTTAGGTGAAAGTTTACAGAACAAATTAGCTTCTCATTAAACAGTTAATACATAAATTATTGCGTGACATTGGCTGTCAACTTCACAATGTGTCAACACTCTCCCCGCTTCTCCACCGCAGGTCCCGTTTCCATTCATTCTGTTTTCCTGCCCCTTCCTGCCTTCTTGTCTTTGCTTTTGGGCTGGGATGCCCATTAGTCTCATATACATAATTGAACTATGAAGCACGGTCCTCACATGAGTTATTGTTGGGCCTATAGACCTGTCTAATCTTTGGCTGATGGGTGAACCTCAGGAGTGACTTCAGTACTGAGTTAAAAGGGTGTCCAGGGCCATACTCTTGGGGTTTCTCCAGTCTCTGTCAAACGAGCAATCCTGGTCCTTTTTGTGTGTGTGTGTGAATTTGAATTTTGTTCCACATTTTTCTCCTGCTCTGTCTGGGATCCTCTACTGTGATCCCTGCCAGGGCAGTCGGTGGTGGTAACCGGGTATGATCTAGTTGGTTTGGGCTCAGTCTGGTGGAGGTTGTGGTAGTTGTGATTCATTAGTCCTTTGGACTAATCTTTCCCTTGCGTCTTTGGTCTTCTTCATTCTCCTTTGTTCCAGCCAGGATGGGATTAGTAGATGTAAGACGGTTGCTTGCAGGCTTTTACGACCCCAGTTGCTACTCACCACAGTTGGATGTAGAACATTTTCTTTATTGAGCAGGTTATGCCAATTGAGCTAGCTGTCCCCCAAGACCATGGTCCCCAGCCCTCAGTCCATTAGCTTGAACTCTCAGGGTGTTTAGATGTGTCTGTGAAGCTTCTATGACTTTGCCCTGGTTAAATTGTGCTGACTTCCCCAGTATTGTGTACTGTCTTACCCTTCACCAAAATTACCACTTATCTACTATCTAGTTAGTGCTTTTCTCTCCCCACTCCTCCCCTCCCTTGTAACCATCATAGATTGTTTCTGTGTATAAATCTTTTCATGAGTTTTTATAATAGTTGCCTCGTACCGTATTTGTCCTTTTGTGATTGACTTATTTCACTCAGCATAATGCCCTCCAGATTCATCCATGTTGAGATGTTTCGCAGTTTCATCATTGTTCTTTATTGTTGCAGTGTTCCATTGTGTGTATGTACCATAGTTTATCTATTCCTCTGTTGATGGGCACTTAGGTTGTTTCCATCTTTTTACTATTGTGAATAATGCTACAATGAACATCGGCGTGAATATGTCTATTCGTGTCTTGGATCTTACTTCTCTAGAATATATTCCTAGAAGTGGGATTGCAGAATCGTATGGTATTTCTATTTCTAGCTTTTTAAGGAAGCGCCATACCATATTGTTTTCCAAAATGGTCGTACCATTTTGCATTCCCACCAGCAGTGCGTAAGAGTTCCAATCTCCCGGCAACCTCCTCAACATTTGTTATTTTCTGTGTTTTTGATTCATGCCAGTAATGTGGGGGCGAGAGGGTATCTCATTATAGTTTTGATTTGCATTTCTCTAATGGCTAGTTGAAAACCCTGGTGGCATAGTGATTAAGAGCTACGGCTGCTAACCAAAAGGTTGGCAGTTCAAATCCACCAGGCGCTCCTTGGAAAACCTATGGGGTAGTTCTACTCTGTCATATAAGGTAGCTATGAGTCAGAATCGACTTGATGGCAACGATTCAGTTTTTTTTTTTAAATGGCTAGTGATCGAGAGCATTTCCTCATGTGTCTGTTAGCCGCCTGAATGTCTTCTGTGGTGAAGTGTCTCGTTCATATTCTTTGCCCATTTTTAAATTGGATTATTTGTCTTTTTGTAGTAAAGGTGTTGGATTTTTCTATAGATTTGAGATTAGACCTTTGTCGAATATGCCATAGCCAAAAATTTTTTCCCGGTCTGTAGGTTCTTTTTTTCCTTGGTGAAGTCTTATCTTCTGGTGTTTGTGTATTGATAATTATGGTTTATACGTTGTTTATACTGTATGTTACGGCCCCTACTGTTGGCCCTATTTTTTCTTCCATGATCTTTATAGTTTTTGGTTTTATGTTTAGGTCTCTGATCCATTTTGAATTAGTTTTTGTGTATGGTGTAACGTATGGGTCCTGTTTCATTTTTTTGCAGATCGGCATCCAGTTATGCCAGCACCATTTGTTAAAAAGACTGTCTTTTCCCCATTTAATAGACTTTGGGCCTTTTTTCAAGATCAGGTGACTGTAGGTAGATAGATTTACATTTGGGTTCTCGATTCTGTTCCAATGGTCAATATGTCTGTTGTTATACCAGTACCAGGCTATTTTGAGTACCATAGCTGTATATAGGTTCTGAGGTCAGGTAGTGCGAGGCCTCCTACTTTGTTCTTCTTTTTTAATAATGCTTTACTTATCTGGGGCCTCTTTCCTTTCCATATAAAGTTGATGATTAGTTTTTTCATCTCGTTAAAGAATGCTGTTGGTATTTGGATCGGGATTGCATTGTATTTGTAGACTGCTTTAGGTGAACATAAATAATATTATATAACTTGTGCAAGAAACATTTAAGAGGCAATGAACTTCACAGCTGCAATTCTGTCCACTGTCAGCATCCAGTACAATCAATGAAGGTAAAGATGCTTATTAAATATCTATTTGGTGGTAAAGTTTAACTTTGATTCAGACACCCTGTCTTTTAAAGGGCTTTGGTTATTTTAAAAAAGTTCATAGTAAACACTAACATTTCAAAATAGGTTAAAATAATTTTTTATTTATATGTTAGAATAGATTTATACACATTTAACAAATTCTTTATAAAACAATTGCCAATCCTTGTCCAATTTCATAATCATTTCTGTCTATATAGGCTTGGAAATTTGCTGTGAAAACAGTCTACAAAATATTTCTTTTAGAAAGCATCACAATTATTTTGGGCAAAATAATGTTTAAAACTGAAGTCTGCATGCAAGTGAGTGGGCTCACAAACACCTTTATCCTATAAACCATTGAAAACAATAATGGGAAAATGATCATTAAACTGATTTCATGAGGAAACAATGAATGAGCACATATTCTATAGACTTCTCAAATTCACCCAGAATTTTTTATTGCTTTCAGAAGCCATGCCATTACAAGGGATGAACAACCATGGTATGCAGTCAAATAAAATAAACGGTAACCAAATTAACAAATTGTAGCAAAGAGTCACCTTGCTGTAGAATATATTAAAGAAGCCTTATTACACTGAAGGCTTATCATATGGGCCAAAAACCCTGCAGGAGACGGTCTCTTCACACAAAAAGATGCTAATTCGTTCATTTTAGAATTGAGTAATGTCCCTTTAGTAGTGTTGCTATTTAAAAAAAAAAAAAAAGTTGGAAATATGATGGCAACCTGCAAAAGTGGCTGACAGTTTCGGTCTTTGTCTGAGAGCACACCCTGCAATTTAGTAAAGACTGGTTTTGTATCTTCAGTTCAAAAGCATACTTCTTTTCTAAAAGGTAACTGACCAACTGATGCCACCCCTGAGAGCAGAATCCCAACCACCAACTTGAAAGGGATATGGCTCAATGAAGAACAAAGTAACTGATTTGCTTCAGAGATAAGGAAGCAAAATCAATGTCAAAGTATTTTAAATCAAAAGGAATTTTAAAATTCAATGTTTTGGAATATTCCCCCTGAGCTATGGATGGTTTTTATACACAGTCGCTAGTAAAATAGTGCATTCCATCATTCTAAGTTTTACTTACAAATGCTATGGTTCTTGGTGCTGAAAATAGATAAATTGTAACTCAAATAGCACAAAGTGGTAGCAATTACATTTCGTAGAAATCTTTGGTGAGATGCAGTCCTGCAGAAGCCTCCTCACTTTGTTTCCCCTCATAATACTTTAGAATCTTCAAGTTATTTTCAGAGGAGAAACCACAAGACCATAATGAAGGACAAGCAGACCATCCTGAAAAAGAAAAAAACCCAGGATTTTGCAGTTACTTGGAAACTACTTATGTAAATGATCGAGCTGAAGTTTGCTTATTTTTTCATAACTTAACACTGAAGTGAAATTTTATTTAAAGAGAATAAAGGATCTGAGATAAATATACTTGTTTATTTACTCACGTCATCGCCAAACACTTTTGCCTGTCAATGTATCTTTTTAATGATTCTCAGGAGACAATTCTGAAACTACCATAGTTAGTCAGGGTTATTTATGATTGAACAATTCTCCAAAAAGAACTAAAAGAGATACACCTTTTCTTCTCCACAGACTACTTAACAGACTACCAAGGCATTGGACTCTCCTAAAGAAGACTCAATTAGCATAAAGTATCATGGATCTGTTAAGAAATGAAATGTTCATTTCCATATAAATGCAGCTCACTACTGTTAGAAGTGATGAAACTAAAGAAACTCTTACGTATTTAATGAAAATCTAAAATATATCATACATTTTCCTTTCTCCTTAAAGATTGTTCAATATAATTTAACCTCTCCTTGATGACTTGGGGTCATCACCGTGAACAGCAACTGTACTGTATTGTAACACAGCGATATCCTCAGGGGTAGTAGGACAACTTAACCCTATACTAAATGACACCAGATGTTGTGTTCCTCAACCCTTTAATCTGCTTTTTGGGGGTTTCTGTCTCCTGTCTTGATATCAGGCTTTCACTATTTCTCTGTGCTCTTACCACAGCTGCATCCAGCAAGCAGTCCTCCTTTGTAAGGTAAGGTTTCTAATCTAATATGGACTGGAAAACAAGATAAAAAGGGGACTTCATTGGGAAAGTGTGCCATGAGCAAAGGTCTTGCCTTGGGCAACTCAGGAAGGGAGTTGGATATTTCCAATCCTGCTCTAGCTGTTACTTCCTTTTTCTTCTTTGTTAAGCTTTTCCATGGTTCTACTTCCTCATTTCTCATTCACTACTCAACTCACTGCAATCTGGCTTCTGTTCCTGGCAACTCCAGTGAAAACTTGCCAGAATTCTAGAAAACAGTTCACAAATTCAAATGCTTACAGGTGCCAAGAAAGTAACATAAATGAATACATGAGCTAGGTGTGTGAGCCAATATGGAATGTTGGCAACTGGTGGTAAACTGAAGAGCAGATGTCTATCTAAAGGAATTTAAATTAAGAAATATTTGAAACACAGTATAAGCCAAGTAAAGCACAATCCCATACCACGTTTGGCCCGTGAACAATCAGATCTGTTCTAGATTAACTGGACTAATCAAAGTAAATGAATTTTTATTATAACACAAATAGGAAGAGTCCATTGACATTTTTACAAGCATCCAAATTACATTTTACACAGTGTTAATTTTTTGCATGTAAATATGTTTCAGAAATGAAATACACACTACAGGGGAAGCCAGTACAACTGGACTAAACCAAAGCTACGAAGTTTCCTCAATACAATCAAATACTTTGAGAGACAGAATAGCAGGGATGCAGGGTCTGGGGACCATGCTTTCAGGGGACATCTATGTCAATTGGCATAACAAACCTTATTAAGAAAATGTTCTGCATCCTA